CACCAAGTCCCAAGCACACGGACAGAGAGGAGCCCATGCTCGCCCTAGGGATGTACGCTTTCCACCCGCAGGATTTAAATTCTCCTTGTGGGTAGCTGCCGATTGCTTCCTTGCTTTGAGTTCACTGTTATCACAGTTATTCTTGAGGCAGGTGTGGTATTCTGAGAACAGCACTGTGCTTAGAGCTTAGAAGGCCAGGTCTCAAGCCCCCTGCCTGCCATTTACAGTCTGTGTGGCCTTGGCCAAGTGCTTAAGCTCTCTGCGCCTCATTATCTGACAAATGGGGACCATTACGCGCTCCCTGATAACCTTACAGTTTTGTGGAGAGGAGCACCTGAGGGAAGGCGTGAACTGCAAAGTGTGAGGCCTTGAACAGGCACAAGGAAGACCGAGATCAGAGCTCCTGGCAAGAGCCCCCAAAGGTCAGGGACTGGCTATTCTTAAACACGTATTCTGAGTACCTCATGTGATGCCAGTCACCTAGCAGACACCCCATCAATACATGTTGACTGACTGCATCATCCAGCATGACTTAGCTGGCTGCTGGGACACCCAGCTGTCTGCGGTGGCCTTTTGCGTACCCTTTGGTACGTGTGTCTGCTGCCTCTTCAAGTGGACGTTCCTAACCTTTTCGAGGCAAGAAGCTATTTCTCAATCGAGGCTTTTCCCTTTATCGTTGTTATTATTATAAAAAGAAGGTGCTATGGAAGGTATGGAAAGCAGAGGATGAAAAAGACTGCCCTTGATCTAATGACCCTAAAAAGAATGACGATTTTTTGGTTCTTTTTCGCATACGTGTATTTCAACATAGCTTCAATCACCTTGTATGTACAATTTTGCTTCCTGTTTTTCCCCTTAGTTTACCAAATGTATTTTTCTAAGTGGCAGGAATGTTTCCTCTATTCTCCCTTCTAGACTGCAAGCTTCTAGAAGAGAGGGGTGGTGGCTAATTTGCTCACCCCATTATCCTCGTTACTAACACAGGTGGATACTGAGTAAATATTTGTTGAATGGGTGAAAGTTATTGAGTAAATACATTTTAAGTTGCTGCACATCATTCCATGTGTGTACCACACTTAGCCGATTCCTTATGGTTGGGCATTCAGGTTAATTCCAATTTTTTAATTTTATTAAAAAACATGTTACAATGACTTATCTTCCAACCTTATAGCTTATTCGTGTTTCTGCATTATTTCCTTAGGACAAGGACATTTCCTTAGGACAAGGTCCCGGAAGTGACAGAAAGAAAGCTATGGACATACTTTTGGCTCATGATAAATATGGCCAAATTGCTTTTCAAAAAAGGTGTTGGAGCAACTGGATATCCACAAGCAAAACAGTGAACCTAGGGCTTCCCTGGTGGCGCAGTGGTTGGGGGTCCGCCTGCCGATGCAGGGGACATGGGTTCGTGCCCCGGTCCGGGAGGATCCCACATGCCACGGAGCGGCTGGGCCCGTGAGCCGTGGCCGCTGAGCCTGTGCGTCCGGAGCCTGTGCTCCGCAATGGGAGAGGCCACAACAGTGAGAGGCCCGCATACCGCCAACAACAACAACAACAACAAAATTAAAACAAACAAACAAACAAAAAAAACAGTGAACCTTGATTTAAATCTCATGTCTCATACAAAAATTAACTCAAATGGATCAAAGACTGAAATGTAAGACATACAAACTATCAAATTTTTAGAGAAAAAAAACAACCCGGGAGAAAATCATCAGGACCTAGGGCTACGCAAAGAGGTCTTAGACTTGACACCAAAAACATGACCCAGAAAAGGAAAACTTGATGAATTGGACCTCATCAAATTGTAAAATGTTTGCTCTTCAAAAGACCCTGTGAAGAAGATAAAAAGATAAACTACAGACTCTGGGAGAAAATATCTGCAAACCACATATCTGACAAAGGACTTATGTCTAGAATATGTAAAGAGCTCTCAAAACTAGCCAGTGAAATAACAAGCAATCCAATTAGAACTTGGGCAAAAGACAACATCAGACATTTCACTGAAGAGTATATATATACACGGCAAATAAGCACATGAAAAGATGTTCAATGTCATTAGCCATCAGGGAAATGCAAATTAAAACCACAATGAGATATCACTACACACCTATCAGAATGGTTAACATTAAAAATAGAGGGAACACCAGATGCCGGCAAGGAATTAGAAACGGGACCACTCATATGTTGCTGGTGGGTATGAAAAATGGTCCAGCCACTCTGAAAAACAGCAGAACAGTTTCCTATGAAACTGAATATACCATCCAGCTCAGCAACTCCAACTCTTGGGCATTTATCCCAGAAAAATAAAAACATCTGCTCACCCAAAACCTGTATGTGAATATTCCAAACAACCTTATTCTAATAGCCCCAAACTGGAAACAACCAAAATACACGTCAACAGGTGAATGGATAAAGAAACTATGGTATATCCATATCACAAAATAGTACTAGGCAATAAAAAGGAAGAAACTACTGATACACTCAACTACTTGGATGGATTTAAAGGGAATTATGCTGATCAGAAAAGAAAAAGCCAGTCTCAGAAGGTTACATACTCTATGATGCCATTTATATAACATTCTTGAAATGACTAAATTTTAGAGATGGAGAACAGATTAGTGGTTGCCAAGGGATGTGGTCAGGGAGAGAGGGAGGAGCTGCCCTGTATCTTGACCACCATAGTGTTTCCATGAATCTACACATATGATAAAATGGCACAGAAGTACACACACACACACACACACACACACACACACACACACACACACGGCTGCATGTAAAACTGGTGAAATCTGAATAAGGTTGGTAGATCATACCATTGTCATTTCCTGGTTGTCAAACTGTACTCTAGTCATGCAAGAAGGGGATCAGGACTTCTCTGTATTAATTCTTACAACTGCATGTGAATCTATAGTTCTATCAAAACACAAAGTAAAAAAAAAAAAAAAAAGTGGGGCTCACCTTGGAGACCGTTTATGTTGACATAAGCAATATACAAGCATCCCTCTTAGCTTTTGGCCAGCATTTTGATGCCCAGGAAAATCCTACCCTCCTAGCTTTTGGCTAGCATTTTGATGCCCAGGAAGACAAGGATGGGCATCGCTCCCAGAGGATCCTATCAGGTGTGTCGTGCTGCGTGACTAGAAGCCAGGGCCACACCCACTCTGAGCTTCATCTGCATTTCAAGTGGAGAGCAAGTGAGGCGCCCCCAGGTTGGCATTTGGATTGTCTGATGGGTAGGGATTGTGCTTGACTAATTAAAGGCTCTGAGTACTGAATTAGACTAAGTGTCACTCAAAGACAGAAACCAACAATTGTGTGTTTTCAAGCAGGGCTCAGTCACAGGGTCTTGTCCTCAGGGGATGCCCCCTCCGTGGGGCTGAGACTAAAGGAGACTGTGCCGTCCCAGGCAAAGATGAGAAGAGTGACTTTAGTCCAGATTATTTGGACCAGAAGATGGAGTCGGGCACTGAATAAATTATTTGCTCTTGCCTAAATTTTCTACTTGACAATATATGGTGTTTAATAAATACTCATTGACTGATTGATGGATAACAATACCCAAACATTTCTTATTCTTACTGTGTCTCAGGGACTGTGTTAAACCCATCACATGCCTGATTTATTACACATAACCGCCTCTGCAAGTAGGTACCATTATTGCCCATATTTTACAGTTGAAGGCAATGAAGGCCAGAGGTAGAAGCTTGCTTGCTTAACATCACACAGGCGGTAAGTGACAGAGCTGGAACATGAAGCCAGGTTGCCTGTGTTGCTTCACCGGCAACTAGGGGTCTCAGGATTTACACAGAGAAAATGGCAGTTGAGAGGGTGCATGGTTTAGGGAGAAAGTGGCTTAGTGACAGGAAGTATGGGCGTCCAGGAAACTAAAGTTTAGGATTTCCAGAACCCTCCCTGGCAGTGTTCCCGCCTGGCCCGCAGGAGCCAGAGTACCTCAGCGTGTTCCCCATGCGTAAAAAGAGGGGGTTGGACTGTCAGGTGCCTTCTGTTTTCTGATTCTCTGAACGTTACAGGGACTTCTGATGGTCCTGGAAGGGACCACGTGCGATGATCTAGGCCAGTCTCTAGGTGACTGGACACATGGCTGCAAACCCTCCCAGACACATGGCTGCATCTTCTCTCCTGAGGCTCTCTTACCGCCTCACGCCAACTCCATGTCCTCTCAATCTGCTGAGTTCTTCCAAACATTTACTGCAATCTCTGCGGCCTTAATATAAAGTGCTGACTCAGCCTTCTGTAGGCACCGAGAACATCCAGGGCTTCCATCAATACAAGCTCCCTTAATTTAATCTTATACATTCAACAAATATTGAGTCTCATTATATGCCAAACACTGGACAAGACCTCTGACTTAAATAAGTTGCCCAGTTAGCTTTGTCTTCCCCAGACAAAATAATCTTAATTCCATAAACCTTTCTTCTTTCTCCCTCCCTTCCTTCCTTCCTTTCAACATACACACAGAAAAGTGCACCTATCTATTTACAGCCAATAAATCCTCATTAGGTAAAAAGAATCGGAAAATACAATTAAGTAGAAGAAAATAAAAAGTAAAATCTGCCCAAAATAGCTTTGCTCAAATGAAATACGCATGCAATGTGTTTAAATAGATTTGGTGCACGGTGGCCAAAAGTGGACCTACATTTTGGTCTAATAAAGCGCAGGTGAAGGATTACTTTTTCATGAGGTTATAGACTTGGTTTAAAGATTTAAGAACATAGAGTAAATCATAATGGTATTCCAAGGCAATGAATATGTAGGACCTATTCAGTATTAGAGGAAAAAATGGGCGATGCCATTAATGTGGGGCAGC